GGCTATATTTTTCCTACACTTCTTCTTTTCAATGGTAGCAATTGCGACAATCCGCGCAAGTCAATATTTCTTGAACAAAGTACCACTTTACTCACCTGATACATCAATGTGCATCTATTAATTCTGTTTTTCCTAGTCTTCACCGATTCTTGCGCAAATGACCTGATAGGTACAGGATGATTCACCATAAAGCCTCCCCCCTCTAGCTCAGTTATTTTTGAACCGATTGCAACATTCGTTTGTTTTTTTCTGCTACATCAGAAAATACAAGGTGCTCGGAACAAACGATCTACAGGGTACTCGATTTTTTTAAATGGACCACCCTATTTTTCATTGTATCTTCAGATTCTCCCTGAAGAGCTGATTTCATCACACTAAGGGGTCTAGCGAAAATGATTACAGAGATATAGGGTGTTCAAAATCGAGATTTTTGAACTTCGTTCATCATCGGTCAAAACGGCTCCCATGTCCGTATCTTAACTTTTGATCTACTATCTGCTGACATTTGATAATTGGAACAGATACAGGGTGATCAGAATACTGAATCATGAACCACACTGTATATGTTCCAATTGAATGTCAGTAGATAATAAATCAAAGGTTGAGATAGGGACATTGAAGCCATTTTGACCAATAATGAATAATTTCGACACAAAAAAATCCTAAAGTTAAAAAATCTCGATTTCGAACACCCTATACCTCTGTAATCATACCCGCTAGACCCCAAGTGTGATGCATTGATGAAATCAGCTCTTCAGGGAGAATCTAAAAATACAATGAGATACAGGGTGTTTCATTTGAAAAAATCAAATAGTACTCTGTAGATTGTTCGTTCCGAGCACCCTGTATTTTCTGATGCAACGGAGAAAAATTTCTGAAAAATCATTTTGGATGATTTTTAAAATGTTTAAAATCGGTTCAACAATAAGTGAGCTAGAGGAGGGGACATTTATGGTGAATCTCCCTGTACGCCACTAGTTGGTCCTTATCTGTTTTACTTAATTTGATGGTTACTAGCTACAGATATACTTTTCCGAGCGACCGTAAAGTGATGCATTTTACTTGTAGACATTAAAATGCTATCAAAATGAAGAAAAACGGACTCTATAATTTTAACATCCTAAACACGAAGATTATATTGCGAGCAAAACTTTTGGATAACCTCGAAATCATAAAACGAAATATTTAGCGACTCAACTTCCTATAATCCTGTTTACGTTGGTTTGCTACAGGAACATTCCACATATCACATATAACATAATAGGTAGTAAAATGGTTGAAGGCTGAGATAAACATATAGTAAGTATTTATACCTATATATTTATATATATATATATATTCCGGTACGGAAGTTTATTCTGAAGTAACCCATTTAATCCCTTTAGGAATTTCAAACAAAACTGACATAGAAAACAACCAATAATTTTCAAAGATTTTTACATTGACAGACCTGGATTGTAGATTGTAGACTGTAGATGGGTCGTATAGGCTGGGAGACCTCTCGATCACTGCGACCTAGAAGATCTATTGTGATTACCCTTATCTAGTTTTGGTCCTCTAACCCTAGACTTCTGATGAAGCCTACAATTTTCCTGACGGTTGAATTTTCCACCTCTGCAGGGGTGATATAGACCTGTTCTAGGTGGTTTAGCCTTTGGCACATGAGCAAAGTATGTGATCCGCGGTTTCGGTCGCATTGTTACAAAAGCGGCAAGTGTCAGTCTCCGCCAGGCCTATCTTTTTGAGGTGGTAACTCAGAGGGCCGTGTCCTGTGAGAAAGCCTGTGATAAGCTTCATCTCTGGTTTGCTGAGGCTGAGTAGCTCTTTGGCTCGGTTCTGCGAATGGTTGATGAACCTTTTCGCTTGTCGTTGACCTGAAGTTGCTCTTCAGTGAGAGGACTTTTCAATTTCTCCCCATTTCCTGAGTTCTTCCTTTAGGTGACATTTTCTCATCCCACAAAAAGGCTCAGGACCAAAAAGTGCAGATGCTGCACTTTTTTTTGCGAAGCGATCAGCTGCCTCATTTCCTTTGATTCCTTCATGCCCTGGAACCCACATAAGTGTGACTCTGTTGTCCTTTCCCAGTTGCATGAGTGTTTTGAAGCAGTCCCATGTGATCTTTGATGTGAAAACGAATGATTTTGGCTTGGCTGTCTGAGCAGATATATATGTTGGCACCCCTCAGACCTTTGCTCAGGCACCTTTGGGCGCAAAGGTTGATGGCATGTATTTCAGCTTGGAAGATAGTGGGGGAGTGACCTAAGGCTTCAAATAGCCTACATCCATTTTCGAACCATCGGTGTACCAAACAAGAACCCTCTGTCCAGCTGAGGCTCAGCGGAACCGTACCTAGGGCGGCTTTTTATAACCACTTCAAAGGTATGATCGAAACTGAGCCTGGCTGGCATTATGTCCGATGGTTTGGTTGCAAATTCCATTTGTACTTCTTGTAGAATGACCATGTGACCAGTGACAGACCTAATTTCACTTCAACTGTTTCTAGATATTAATTAATTGATGCGAAACGATATCATGAAAATATCAAAGAGAAAAAATAATGTTCAAAACACATTAGAAAATGTGTATATGGATAAAATGTTGAATGATAGTTAGGCACGATATTATCAAACACAACACAACTGAAAATGACAACATTATTGCTCAATAATGGAGCTGAATAGTTCACACCTTCATGATATAACTTCATAATTATCATAATAACTCAAGTTGAAACTCATATTCCCATCTAGAAAACTTTCATGCCGAGTTCTCTTACGGCTATTGTTACCTTGAAATCCGGCAAACTCCGGAAGTATTTCTGTGTTTGTTTCTCTAGTTTCTCGAATACGCGGTGAAACTGTTGTATGTTTCATAGAAAACCACAAGCCCGGTGTATACAATAAGTTATTAAAGCTCCCAGCCAAACAATACCTGAACGAGTTTAGTTTTACTAGATTAATTGTCAGCTTGATTAAAATCATAACTGAGACGAGCAGACTCCATCACATCTCATTCGAATGAAGTTTGGAATTAACTTGTATACAGGATATTTCTTAAGTACGTGTAGAAATTTGAGGAGAATATATTTCTGACGCCAAGATAAGAAGAAAATGTTTATATAATGTCCGCAATTAATCCGTTTCCAAGATACAGAGTCTCCAAGTTGAAGATTTTGTTTTTCGTGAATGAATATCGAAATAATTGTGATATTCGAGTTGACTTATTATCTAGAAGTATTTTTCAATGACAAAATCAAATTTTTTACACATGTTAGTTCATCTCTTTTGTGAGGTTAGCGTCGCCTTCATGTTTTTTTATTCTTTCGAAATGTCATAACATTTTTGTACGTAGAAATATAGATTCTGTATCATATCTTTTTTTATCGCTTGGAGCGCACGAAAGGGAATAAAATGTTACATTCTGCTGGAAATACTGGCGAATATCAGAAAATACGTGCAATTTCCTAGAAATACACGCAATATTTTTTTAAATACAAAAATTACATTGGCAATACAAGAAATACCTTGAAAATACAGACAATAAGAAGGGAATCTCGAAGAAAATTTCTTTCTGGAAATACAGGCCTTCATCAGGAAATACGAGTAATATTCAGGTAACACAATCAATATTTTGGGAATATAGGCAATATGAAGGGAATATAGGCAATATGAAGGAAATACAGACAATTTTCAGGAAATACCAGCAATACATAGGCAATACAAGTAATATTTTGGGAATACAGACAATATGAAGAAAATACATAGGCAATACATGTAAATATTTCTCTATTGTTTTTAGCTATGAGTGCAATGAGTCTGATAAAGTCGACAATCGAGTGAACCTCCATCATTATCATACAGGGCAAGTGGAAAAGTAAATATTCTCAAACGACATTCCTGTTCATCATTGCATATTTCAATAGATTTGTTTTTGTGATATCAAATATTCAAATATGCATGACTTTGTTTTTCTCATGCATGTGGGAATTTTTATATTGAACATAGTTATGAAACTATACATCGGTGAATGTGGATGTGTGTGTGGATTGAAGTATAGTAAATATCTCAGTGAGAGTGAGAAAATATATTTTCAAGAAAAAACCAACCAGGGAAACGATATTGAAGATAGGATATTCCCTTGCGTATTTTTATAAGGGTAATGTATAAATAAGAACTGAATTTTGGGATAAATTATCTACACTCTTAGGAAAATGTCGATCCCAGTATATCTCTCTCTATATTTTCTCGTCATATTTCGGGAATATTTCTTGGAATAAAGGTATCAACTAGAAAATACAGGAGATATTCATGAAATACAAATTAATATAATGCTGGGATGCATAGGGAGTATGGGAAATAATCAGGAAAGTCACGCAATACTGGAAATATATTCAGTAATTATTGAAAATACCTGTACATTTCTCAACCAGTGGTTCACTCCTCCAATATTTTCATAATTCCAAGACTATAACACCAATCATTATTTCAGAGATGTGAGTATGGAACATTATTTATATGTGCGGAGATTTCGAAACGAAAAATTTTAATAATCCGTTTATGATCAATGCTCTTACAAGAAATTGATATGTACAATATTATTTAATTCGGTTACTGGTCTAGTGGTGGAGGCGTTACTCTGGTTACTTTTTTTATTTTAGAATATGTTTATTGAAAAACTGCAGGAACATTCAACATAGACACATTCTATGAATATCTGAGGAATTCTCATCCGCAAATTCAGAGAATATTCCACAGATATTCTAGAATATTATAGCTCATTCCGAAGATATTCCTGAAGAAATATGATTCATGGAATACCTGGTGCTGTCTGGGAGGTTACGTACAAAAAAGTTATGAGATTATGAATGATTGAAAATATTCAGGTGGCGCTACTTTCGAGAAACGAACACAGTAATATCAAATTCGATTTCGTCATCGAAACATACTCCCGATCCCACACCTGACACCACTATCAGCCTCAACACCATTTCTCTATTACAGCGCGATGGCGATGAACAACAACACCACCAACACGAACAACAACACCAGCAACGCGAACAACAACAACCTGCCGCAGGCGCAGCAGCAGCAGCAACAGCTGAAGATCGAGCAGCAGGAGCAGCCCGACGGCGACACGATCAAGATGTTCGTGGGGCAGGTGCCGCGCTCGATGGACGAGAACGACCTCAGGCGCATGTTCGAGGAGTACGGCCGCGTGCATTCGATCAACGTGCTGCGCGACAAGGCGACTGGGGCCAGTAAAGGTGAGAACCAAACACAAATAACACATAATGTTCACCTCCATGTAAGTCAATTTTGGGTTTTATAGTTTTATAACAATTTGTATATTAACCAACGTAGAACTTACAGTCACAACTCCACTACATGAACAATTTCATAATGACCAATGGTCATGGACATAAGGACATGTTTCGAAGGATTAATCCTTCATCATCAGCAAATTTATAAGAAGAAACAACGCTTATGTTAGTTTTGAAGTATTGATTACAAAACTAAATGTACCTACCATTATTGGTGGAAAAAGATTACGTAATAAAAGACATGAAAAAACTATTCTCAACCGCGCATAGTGTGGGTGAGTAACTGTTAGGGAACCATGATAAGAGCTCCACAAGAGCTTAGTTTTCGAAGATAATGATATAAATCAAATATTGAATTTAACCAACACTTTATTCACAACCATATATACAGGGTGTAAATTTGAAAACTTCCAATGCGAATATCTCGCGAGAGAAAAAAGTTAAAAAAACGCCGTTTGGCAAAAATGCTAAAGAGTTAAGGGGAACTAGAACCACCATATTTCGGTCAAGGGATGAGTCACCCCGTCGGCGCGACACACCCCACCTTTGAAATGTCAAATGGCACTACCTCTTTTGTGATGCCTCAAATGAACAGTCTCAGTCAGTAGTATTCACCTGTACAAGACTTTTGTTCCACCCACTACAGGGTGTACGAAAAATATGAAGTCGAATAAAATAAAATGAATTGTGTTAAAAGGATATTTTATTTGATCAAATATTCAGAATGCATTCCATTCTGTTGTAAGCAATAGTATAATCGATGTTCCAATGCCATTCTAACATCTTGGAACACATCTCTTGAAATATATCGGCATTCTGCATTTTATTTTATTCGACTTTATGTTTTCCGTTCACCCTGTAGTTGGTTGAAAATAAGTTTTGTACAGGTGAATACTACTGACTGGGACTGTTCATTTGAGGTATCACAAAAGAGGTAGTGCCATTTGACATTTCAAAGATGGAGTGTGTCGCGCCGACGGGGTGACTCATCCCTTTACTGAAGTATGGTGGTTCTAGTTCCCCCTAACTCTGTAGCATTTGTGCCAAATGGCGTTTTCCTAAATTCTTTATTTAACGAGATATTCGCATTGAAAGTTTTCATACTTAGACCCTCGACTAAATGTTTTTCGTGCACCCTGTAGTGGGTAGAAAAAAAGTCTTGTACATGTGAATACTACTGACTAAGACCGTTCATTTGAGGTATCACAAAAGAGGTAGTGCCATTTGACATTTCAAAGTTGAGGTGTGTTGCGCTGACAGGGTGACTCATCCCTTCGCTGAAATATGGTGGTTCTAGTTCTTCCTAACACTTTAGCATTTGTGCCAAACGGCGTTTTTCTAACTTTTTTATTTCGCGAGATATTCGCATTGAAAGTTTTCAAATTTACACCCTGTATGTAATTTTTGGTGACCTGCTCGCTTACGTCTCACGTATATGGCAGCAATCTATTGGGAAATATGGTGAAACCTTAGCCGTGGCGCTTGATATCTCCAAGGCATTCGATCGAGTCTGGCACTACGGACTCCTCGCCAAGTTTACATCTTATGGTTTGCCTCCCCAGCTATGTTCTCTGCTAGCTAGTTTTTTCTCAAACAGGTCTCTCCATGAAGTGGTCGACGGAGACTCTCTTATCATGAATGCTGGTGTTCCGCAAGGATCAATTCTAGCACCAACACTATTTCTACTCCATATCAACGATTGTTTGGAAGCAACTTCATGTCCAGTACACAGCTTCGCGGATGATAGTACCCTCCATACCGCCTTCTCTTCCAAGGCTCCAATACCAGCGAGGCAAATCAGAAACAAACGAGGGAGAAATGTTGAAACATAAATATAGACTTGGCAACAATTCTCGAATGGGGATCCAATAACTTGGTAGATTTCGAAACACAAGCATGCCTTTTCTCTAGAAAAGCCGATCTCACTGTGCCCAACATAAGCTTGTCAGGAGTAACCATACGTTTAAAGACATCCATTTCGATGCTTGGTATTACTATCAGCAATAACCTTTCTTGGGGAAATCACGTGAGATCAATTGCTCAAGGTGCATCCTAAAAACTGGGTTTTCTGTTTCGGGCCAGGAGCTATTTCACTTCCAGTCAGCTGCTTGTGATCTATAAGGCACAGATCCGACCTGTTCTGGAATACTGTTCCCAAATTTGGAGTGCAACATCCAAACATACCCTGTAACTGTTGGATTCTGTCCAAAAAAAAGGCAATTCGTCTCGTGGGTGAAGCCTCGCTGACAAACTCACTCACTTCTTTGGAACACCGTAGAAAAGTTGGCGATCTTGTTCTATTTATAGATATTTTCATCAACGATGCTCCTATGAAATATCAACAATTGTTCCTCCCTTGGCAGTCCCCGCGAGATTAACCCGTTGAGTTGAGGCTTCGCACCCCTTCGTGGTCACTTTGGAGACCCGCAGAACATCTCTTTCCAAAGACTCGTTCAACGAACGAACAGCGGGGCTCTGAAACACATTGTCAAAGGAGGTGTTCCCCGAGGCATATAACCTCTAGAAATTCAAGAAGAACACCAATTCCTACCTATATCACAATATGGAACGGATGGTGTCACCACTTGTTGCGACATGTCCTCGGGCATGTCATATAGAATTATACCAAAACATTAGAGAACACGACCGTTAATAAAATCGAAGCCAATACTCATAATTCTCATTTGATTCAGGGGACAGGTGGAATCGAAAATGACAGTACAAAAATACAATCTTTCCTATAACAGCGCTGGAATATATATCGAGTGGTGCAGCCATCCGTGCATTGTGTGTTTTGTTTCCGCGAACGAGATATAATGGAGAGTCTTCGTTTGTTTCCCGTTCTTTTGTTTGTCGGCTGGAACAACAATGAAAAATTTCGTTCCCAACATGGGCGTAGGGCAGTTAATGCAGGCAGAGTTGATTGAAATAAAACCAATGACGTTGATTACAGTGACGAATTTACGGGGGGGTGAAGTGGATTACGGGGATATATCCCTCCATAAGTCGATATAGAGAGACACCAAAAAGGAGTGGCTTCAACGTCCGAACTGATGGAAGTGATTTCTCGTTACAGCTGAATGAAAAATCCTCATCTGTCACTCTGGAAGAAATACAATTTACAGTCTGAAGGCATTCGACCTAGGTAAAAAAATTCGCCTGCGGCGCATTCTCACCGTACGTGCATTTTGTCTGAGTTTCTAACCCCACCTGGTATTCACTGAAATGACACCTCTGACGGTAACAAGCCAGAAAATAGTTATTTGTTCAACTAGGCAGCAAAGTAGTAGATTGACTGCCGAGGCTGAATTCATATTTATTATTTTGAATATCACAGGTGTAATAACAAGAGTTGTATCTGAGTAGACCAAAAGATACATTCTAGTATTACAAGCTTCTAACGAGAAACGGCTAAGGGGTTTTTGAGGTGGGAATACATAAACTACTTTTTTCAAAATACTTCAACACCCTGTATCTCGATACCTAACTAAGCTCCAAAACAAGTTGAATAAATTTTGATGACTACTTCCACCTATTGGAGTTAGGTTTGGTAAAAACTGGCATCTCCTTTATATATTGTAGAACACTCCGAAAAACAATGTATATAAAATTTTTGAAACTTTCTTGTTTTTTGTACTCGAGGGCAATATTCGCCAAAGAATATTATAGCTGGTATCAGGAAATGATGGAAACTTTCTGGATGGAACGGCCATATATACAAGCTTCATATCAAAGTTGTAACTTTCACGCACAAGTGATGGTCTCGCTTTATCAAACTCTTTTTATTACATCCTGGAGTTCGTTCCGATTTTTCATTAAAAAGTTTCAGCTCGTCTTGTCATCCCATAATATATTATTACTTGTTAATATTGGTTTATGAGTGGATTTCAGAGGGAATATATGACTTCCAAGAATGTCCATCTCGGAAACTATTTTCAGTTTTCACATTTTTTGTTCATAACATAACACATAGTAGAACACTGTGAACTGTAAATGATGTTGAACGTATTTATCTACCTGAAAACAATCACTATTCGTTGGACGTTTCGGGAACGAATCAGTATCCGATTTGATCAAATCAGTGGAAAATCAGTCTTGATATTATCTAGGAAACAGTTCGTCTCTAAAAAAAAATTGAGGAGCAAAAAAGGCCTTCAAATTGAACGATCCACCCTATTTGGTAACTGAAAGATGTCAAAGGCGTACTATGAAAAAGTTTGGGGGTTGGGGGGGATAAAGAAGCATCTACCCTCAAAAATGTATCACCGTGTTGATATCGAAAATCTTTAAAATGCTTCAATTGATAATCTTCTAGGAAGTATTGACCATACCAGATTTTGAATTGATATCTCTAGAAGTGAGCGAGATATTTCAATTGAAAAAAAAAATAATTAAATTTCGACCCCTTGTAGCTCGGCTACTGTTCATGAGAAATTTTATGATCAAAGTGATGAGATCTATCACCCATTTCAGTTTGTACCTTGAAACCTGAATCACCCTATATATGATAGCTCAGCTCTCTATAGCTCAGTTATCAGTTGAGTCAGGATTTTGATATTCTGCAGACTTCAATTGTCTCATAGGGCGCATACCAGGAAAATAATTTCGATTATACAAGGTGTCCCAAAAAAGAGTGATGGGTAACCTACATACTCCTGGAATTTCATTGAATTCGGTTCAGTGATACTCACGTAAAAAAAATATAAGACAAAAATTCAATTTTGCACTACTGGTCACAAATATTAATAAAAAAAAGAGAGTGCCTGGTCAATAGAATCATAAGAGGTACATCACAGAGTGTGCAAAATTTAGTAGCAAACTTTTCAAATTTCGAAGCACTATATTTTCATTATTTGAAATTGGAGCCCCTGTATATTTTCATGACATTCGATGCGTGAACAAAAAACACACTTGTATTCTTATTATAACCCTATCGAAATTCT